GGTGAGTAGCGTTTGCGGTCTTAAAAGCCTGTGAGTGGCCATCTATGATACTCCACTGGTCTCACCCCTTTGGGAGCAAGAGAGAATGAAAAAACTAAAGATACAAGGAAAAGATGAGTCCAAAGGACTAATGGACCACAACTTGTACGGCCTCCACCAGACTGAGTCCAGTACAACTAGATGGTGCCTAGCTACCACCACTGACTGCTCTGACAGGGATCACAATAGAGGGTCCTGGACAGAGCTGGAGAAAAATGTAGAACAAAATTCTAACCCACAAAAAAGACCAGACTTACTGGCTTGACAGAGACTGGAGAAACCCCGAGAAAACGACCCCTGAACAGCCATTTAGCTCAGTACTGAAGTCACTCCTGAAGTTCACCCTTCAGCCAAAGATTAGACAGCCGCATAAAACAAAATGAGACTAAAGGGGCACACCGGCCCAGAGGCAAGGACTAGAAAGCAGGAGGGGACAGGAAAGCTGCTAATAGGGAACCCAAGGTAAAAGAGAAGAAAAAAAAAGCAACACCAGAGAACGCAAACACTCATGCTGGTTATTATCTGTGTGCAGATCCCTGTGCCCTGGGATTCACTTTCTGCTCTATTCTGCCCCCCAGGGGCTGACTCCCTGCAGACTGCCTCACCCAGAAGGAGCACTCTACAGGGAGAAAGGTCAGGTGTTTCCTGTGATTAGGGCTTCAGACCAGTTGGTTCTGGTTCGAACTCCTGCTGAGAGTTTGCATTTCCACCCCAGAATCTACATTTTAACAAGATCCCCAGGAGATGCTTATGTATAATACATTTTGAGAACCACTGCTCTACTAGAGGTTTGCAGAATTGGTCTCTAACCATTAGCATCACCTACGAAGTTGTTAGAAATGCAAATGTACAGCAGAGGTTTGAACCAGAATGAACTGGTTCGAAGTCCTGCTTCTGAGCCCCTCCCTGCTTTGGGTCTTCATCTTAGATATAACTGCATTGCAACAACTACAGACAACTACTAAAATTTCCAACAGTAATGGTGGATGTGTCTATTTTCCCTTGAATTCCTGTCCATATTTGCTTTGTCTAATTTGAGGCACTGTTACTGGGTCCTTACAAGTTTAGAAGTGTTATATCTTCTTGGCAAAGTGATCCTTTTTACATCTAGAAATGCATGTTTATTTAAAGTCTGACATGATTGATATTAAAATATCTTCACCAGCTTCCTTCTGGTTAGTATTTGCCTGGTACCTTTGAACATATCCTTTATTTTTATCTTTCTATGCCCTTATGGTTTAGATGAGTATTTTTAAAGCAGAATATAGCTGCTTTTCTGTGTTTTAATTTTATTATGGAAATTATCAAACCTACACATCAGAGGAAGGGAGAATAAAATAAATCTCAATGCACTTTCCACCCTGCTTCAACAATTAGTCTTTAAGCCATTTCTACCGCTGACCTTGGTTTTGCATGTTTTCCAGTCTAATAATTTTTGTACTTTAACTGGAGCATTTGGTCCATTTATATTTAAGTCCTGCTATATTTAGATTTCCTTTGATGTCCTCCCTAGAGGGAGAAAGTAAGATGGGTTTATTTTTGTCACTAACCTTCTCTCTTCTCCTAACCTTATCTCTTTGCCTTTAACCAGAAGGGGTAGCCCTTTCAGCAGCTCACCTACTTGTGAGTCCTCTCCTATTAGACTCTCCCAGGCTTTTTTCCCCCCCGTGTCCATTCAGGGAGAAAACAGAAGCTCAAGGTCATCAGAATTTTGCAAATGCCTTCAAGGCAAAAAGCCTGCTCCAGGGCTTACCTCTCTGAGTTCCTTCTTTCACTGAGTTTTTGGCCTCTCTAGAAATCTCAAGTCCTAGAAGACAAAGGACTAGAGTGCAAATGGTATTTGCAGCCTTCTAATATTTTGCATTTCAGAACTAAAAGTATGGCCTACTAATACAGCCTTTAAACATGTGTGGACTTATGACTCAAATACTAACTGGGCACCTACTGGTCCAGCACCAGCAGTCCAGTTTGTTGTACTGTGGTGGCTTGTGTGTAGCTGTAAAGCTGGAAGCTGTGCCACCAGTATTTTAAACACCAGTAGGGTCAGCAGAGCTTCCAGACCAAGACAGACTAGGAAGAAAGGCCTGGCAATCTACTTCAGACTTTTAGCCAGTGAAGACTTTATGGATCACAACAGAACATTGGCTGACTCACTTGCTTTGGGCACATCAACAGGAGGAATCAATTGCTGGAGGAAGACATCATGTTTGGTGAAGTATAGGGTCAGTGAGGGCAAGGGAGACCCTCGGAGAGATGTATTGGCACAATAGCCACAACAATGGAGTTGAATATGCTGGTGATCGTGAGGATGACACAGGACTGAATGGGCAACGTTTCATTCTGTTTTATATAAGGTCACCATGAGTCAGCATCGACTCGATGGCATCTATCTGTCTGTATATTGGGATCCTAGACAAGAGGTGACCAGTAATACCTGTCACAATTAGCCCAAATGCCTTAGTGTCTTTATTAGTGGAAAATCAAACCCAAACTTCAAGCTAGTGACTTGTTCCCACTTACACAGTATAAATGCTCTGTCCTAATATTTAAAATAACTGGAAGAGCAACGGCTTGGTGGGAGGTGTAGTACCTGGGCAACCCCTAGGATTTCTACTTTTCCTAATAACTCATTAATAGATTTACACTTTTTTCACATTTTGTTCAGCATTGTTAATTGTTTTCAGTGGGAAGGTAGTTTATGGTCTCCTGTCTATCATGTGGCCAGCAACAGAAGACCTCTAGCCTTTCTCCTGAATTACAGAAGTTAGAACAGGAAGTTACTTTCCCTTCAAAGCTCTCCAGCTGAATAAGAACACTGAGGCTGCAGCCACAGCCTGAGAGGAATGCCCTATTCTGGTCCTGTCCTCTCTGGAATCGCTTGGGGGCTGAGGACTCAGTCTGGCATGCACTTGTCTGTCAGTGGCTTTATGCTGGGTCCTCCCCCATTAAGTGCTGCACCTCCTCCTCCTGTCACAGCCACCAGTGCCCCACACCTTCCAGCTTTTGTCCCAGACATTGGAGCCTCTGCAACTGCCCCATTCATACGTGGCCATGGCTTTTAGTCAGTGGGCCTCCCGTCTTTAGCCAGCTCTCACTCCCTATCCCAGGTAGAAAAAAACCAGTTGCCATCAAGTCGACTCCAACTCATGGCGACCTCAGATGTGTCAGAGTAGAACTGTGTTCCATAGGGCTTTCAATGGCTGATTTTTCAGAAGTAGACTGCCAGGCCTTTCTTCTGCCTTTGGGTGGACTTGAACCTCCAACCTTTGGGTTAGTAGCTGAATGTGTTAACCTTTTATACCACCCAGGGTCTCCTGCCCCAGGTAGGAAGCAGCGCTGTGTTTGAGTTCAACCCCGAACACTCTAGGACACTGATAGTTTTGAGAATAAACAATCTAGTCCCCGACCGCCTACTCGATAATCAGATTCTGGTGACTCATGAAAATGGGAATGAGGTCACAAGTTGAGCCTAAAGGGTGGACAACTAAACCAAAAAGAGAATGTGACAAAGTTGGGTAATGCTATCTGAGGGCAGATACAGAAGGACACGGACTTGCTTCCAATATGGGAAATGAATTGTACAATTTAAGGTCATGTAACTGTGAGCAGGAAAGCCAGGGAAGACAGCCTGGCCTTTTGTGTTTACTACCTCTAATCCTTGGGGAAGCCAACCTTCCTCTCTGATGGGGTTTTCTCAAAGAGCCAGTGCTGAGGGCTCTCTTGTGTCTGAAAGAATTAAAACCTGAAAAGCAATGCTTGCAAAATGGCTGAGGGCTTATATAGCAGCCCTTGATTAACATTAGCAGGCAATGGCACTGGTTAGTAACAACACACCAGAATAGTCGTATAAACTATCCCGAATTTGCTGCGACCCCAATACATGCAATAATACAGATCCCTGCTTGTTTTCAAGTTGGTGTCTGGTTCTACCATGTAAACTGATCTCCAAATGGGTGCAAAAGGCTTCTCCTCACCCATTTTCTTTTTGTTGGCTCTTCTGCTCAGTCAGGATCCTGGTTAGATCCTGGGCCTCTTCTTCAGAAGCAGCAGCCTGGGACATCACTGTTCCGAGGGTGACCCAGGTGTTTCACTGCCACCAAGCCTGTGCTCTTTCAGGCATTTTGAACAGAGAGAGAGGACAGAATGCTCATGTTCTGTAAGTGAGAAGACAAATCACTAGCTTGAAGTTGGAGCTTGATTTTCCTCTAATAAAAACACAGAGGTGCTTGCACTAATTGTGACAGGTATTATTGGTCACCTCTTGTCTAGAATTCTGCCTCCTGATACCCTGCCTGGTATATAATAGGTGCTCAGTGAGCATTTGGGGCATAAATCTACACATGCTTGAAAGCAATATTAATAGCCCATACTTTTAGTTCTGAAATGCCAAAAATTAGAAGCCTGCAAATATCCATTTGGGTAATAGAGGATAAAAATAATATATGTATGTATTTACTTATACATGTGTCAAATATAACTGGAAGGATATATAAATAATAACCATGTCTGCTTGTGGGGAGCAGAACTAGGTGGCTGGGCGACAGGCTATAAAGAAGAATTCTGACAGTTATGCTTCTTTATGCTTTTTTGATTTTTGGACCATATGAATATACAGTGAAACCTGTGAGAGCTGGAAATCGATGGGACTGCCTTGTTTTTTTGGGTCTCACAAGTTTTCCACCTTTGACAGGGTGCAATTTTACCACTTTTCTATCATTCCTTTTAGTGGAAAATAAAATTGGAGTTTTCCTTCTCTGACAGGCTTCCACCCTTCCACAGGTTCCAGTTTTCAAACAGATTTTACTGTACATTATTACATGTTCAAAAAATTTTAATTAAAACATTCTAGCAACAGGGCAATGATTTATAAATTCTTTATTTCAGCAAATATCAACTGCATTCAAAACTACCACTTGATTTACTACAGTTGAGAGGGGAGTCATTCACTAGACACTTGGTTGTTATTAAACACTAAAAATTAAGAAGAGACCAGAGAGATATTAGAATGGGATCAGGAGGGGAGAAAAGGAGCACAGGGGAGAACATAAGGTTCTGCCAGTCCTCACTAACTACCGAAATCAGACCAGATCTAACTTAAATACCAGCCTCCCCAAAAAGGTTTTCAGAAAAAGGTCCCATTAACAATATTAACTAGACAAAAAAAATGTTAATATTTCTAGAACAGATATCTTTGACACAAAAGACCCTACATATAGCACCATGACAGAGCTGGGATCACTGCGGCCTGACATCAGTTAAGATACTGTGGACACAACAAATTCTAGGGGTAAGCTCTCGCTCGCAGATGTGCATGCTGTTTTACGGAGCAAAGATGGTATAGACGGTTCTCACATAGACGTCATCAGGAGGAGGCTTCTTCTTGCTGCCAGGTTCAAGGAATCTCTTAATTGTAGGGACATTACTTATTTTCACTGTGAACTCCTGAGAAAGGAAAACACAAAAGAGTCATGGTTAACAACAAAAGTATTCATTTCTACGAAAAGAAGGTTATACAAAATGGCCCATCAAAATTTGTTCAATAAGACGGAGGCGGGGCCGAGATGGAGGAGTAGTCAGATGCTTCTGGTGGTCCCTCTGACAACAAAGACCCGAAAAAACAAGTGAATCAATTATATATAACAATCTAGGAGCCCTGAACATCAAAGGCAAAGTTGAGGAACTGGACTGACTGGCAGGGGGAGGGTGAGACAGTTTAGAAGCAGTGAGGAATTTCCAGATCTGACCTGGCAGGAACTAGCACCCTGCAGGCCAGATCGGCTGGCTTGCGTGGTGAGGCAAGCAGTGGCGTTTGGGACACTATTACACATCAGGAGAGACTGAGTGGTGGAGAGTCTACTCAAGCCTACAGAACAAGTGAAAAACAGTGCTCAATTGGCAAGATAAGTACATGTGTCTAACCTACAATGTGGATCTAAAAATACCCTGTTTGGGAAGAACCTCTCTCCCATTTACCTGTTCCGTCCCTGCTCTACACCAGGTCTCAGACTGGCTTCAGCGACTGTGGAGTACCCTGGGATGGAAGTAGGACCCATCACGTGCCCTGAGCCATTCTCCCGGCTTTGGAGAGAAAATAAATTAATAGATAGGAAAAAATAATCTGCCAGCTCTCCTAAGCTGGGAACTCATGGCAGGCACAGCTCCCTTGCCTAGGCACAGGCATAAGAGGTCCATGGACTTTGAATGTGTTTCACCCTTGCATAGACCTGTGTGGGCCTATTTTAACAGTGTAGACCCTCATTAGCACAGTACAACAGGGTATATACCTAAAGTCTAACTTCACTGCATCAGCTATATGGTAGAGTGGCAGGTTTGTGACATTTGACATCGCTCTGCCTATTAAGTAGGGTCCTCACCTACCCACATCAGGGGCCTGAGGACTGGTCGCCCCACCCATATCTCCTAGCCACCTGCAACAGGGGTCCAAGAATAAATGGCACCTCCCAGTCCTTACAGCCAACAACATTTGGTGCCCACAGTCCGACTGCAAAACCCACCCACCTACACAATCTAGGGAAAAGGGACATGCTTTCCTCTCAGAACTCAGGGGCAACCATCAGCCTCCTGCCTTGCTCAGTGCATGACCCGCTATGCAGCCAGATACCTGTGCCTACTCCAATCACCCCTGGCCATCTAGGACTGCAGGTGAGAGCCTGTACCACGTACTTGGTGACCGACTATCTGGACACCTGAGCTGAATCCATACAAGAAAATAAATGGACTCCTGGGCTCACATACCTAGTAATAGATCTAACTGACTGGTGACAGGATGTTAGAACTTCAAAGGTGCCAATAATCAAACTAGCTCACATGAGCAGCCTATTTGGGCATATCAAAACAAAACAAAACAAGAAGCTAGGACACAGTAAGCAAAGGTAAAATAAATAAATATAATAACTTATTGATGGCTCGGAGACAACAGTCAATATCAAATCACATAAACAGGCAGACCATGATGGCTTCAGCAAGCTCCCAAAACAAAGAATCAAGAAATATTCCAGAGGAAGAGAATTTCTTGGAATTACTGGAGGTAGAATACAAAAGATTAATATACAGAAATCTTCAAGATATCAGGAAGGAGATCATGCAAAATGTAGAACAAGCCAAGGAACACACAGACAAAGCAATAGAGGCATTTAAGAAGATTACAGAAGAGCACAATGACAAATTTAACAGGCTTCAAGAATCCACAGAGAGACAGCAAACAAATCAAGAAGATTAACAATAGAATTTGAGAATTAGACAACTCAATAGAAAGTCATAGGAGCAGAATTGAGGCAATCGAAGTCAGAATTAATGAGACTGAAGATAAAGCACTTGACACCAACTTATTTGAGGAAAAAAAAGATATAAGAATTTTTAAAAAATGAAGAAACTCTAAGAATTATGTGTGACTCTATGAGTGATTGGAGTACCAGAACAGAGGGGGATAACAGAAAATAAAAAGAGAATTGTTGAAGATTTGTTGGCAGAAAACTTCCCTGATATCATGAAAGACGAGAAGATATCTCTCCAAGATGCTCATCGAACCCCACACAAGGTAGATCCCAAAAGAAAGTCACCAAGACATATTACAATCAAACTTACCAAAGATAAAGATACAGAGAGAATTTTAAGAGCAGCTAGGGATAAATGAAAAGTCATCTACAAAGGAGAGTCAATAAGAATAAGCTCGGACTACTCAGCAGAAACCAAGCAAGCAAGAAGGCAATGGGATGACATATCAAGTCTTGAAGGAAAAAAATTGCCAGCCAAGAATTATATATCCAGCAAAACTGTCTCTCAAATATGATAGCAAAATTAGGGCATTTCCAGATAAACAGAAGCTTAGGGAATTTGCAAAAACCAAACCAAAATTACAAGAAATACTAAAGGGAGTTCTCCGGTTAGAAAATCAGTAACAACAGATAACAACCCAAGACTAGAACACAGGACAGAGCAACCAGATATCAACCCAGATAGGGAAGTCACAAAAATAAATCAAGCTAAAACACTGAAAATAAGGAAACAGAGACGTCAATATGTAAAAGATGACAACATTAAAACAAAAAACAGGGACTAAAAAATGCAGTCGTAGATCTTTCATATGGAAAGGAAGTCAAGGCAATATAAAGAAATAAAAGATTGATTTAAACTTAGAAAAACAGGGGTAAATATTAAGGTAACCACAAAGGAAACTAACAATCTTACAGGCAAAATAAAAAACAAGAAAAATATAAAGTCTCAGCAAATACAAAATCAACAACAATGAAAAAGATGAAAAGAAAAAATACACAAAGAAAAACGATTCAGACAGAAAAATCAGTGGAACAAAGAAACTCTCAACAAAAAAATGACATCAAAATGACAGCACTAAACTCATACCTGTATAAAAAAACATGATCCGTCTATATGCTGCCTACAAGAGACACTTTGGACTTAAAGATGCACAGAAATTAAAACTCAAAGGATGGAAAAAAATATATCAAGCAAACAATAAAAAAACAGCAGGAGTGGCAATATTAATCTCTGACAAAACAGACTTTAAGGTAAAATTCACCACAAAGGATAAGGAAGAACACTATATAATGATTAAAGGGTCAACACACTAGCAGAACATAACCATAATAAATATTTATGCACCCAATGATGGGGCTCCAAAATGCATAAAACAAACTTTAACAGCATTGAAAAGAGAGATAAACAGCTCCACAATAATAGCAGGAGACTTCAACAGAACAGCCGGAAAGAAGCTCAATAAAGACACGGATGATCTAAATGCCACAATCAACCAACTTGATCTTGTAGACATATACAGAACACTCCACCCAACAGGAGCTAAGTATACTTTCTTTTCAATGCACAGGGAACATTCTCCAGAATAGACTACATTTTAGGCCATAAAAAGCAAGCCTTAACAGAATCTACAGCATTGAAATATTACAAAGCATCTTTTCTGACCATAAAGCCATAAAAGTAGAAATCAATAACAGGAAAAGCAAGGGAAAAAAATCAAACACATGGAAACTGAACAACACCTTGCTCAAAACTACTGGTTTACAGGAGAAATTAAGGACAGAATAAAGAAATTCACAGAATCAAATGAGAATGAAAACACATCCTACCAGAACCTTTGGGACACAGCAAAAGCAGTGCTCAGAGGTCAATTTATAGCAATAAATGCACACATCCAAAAAGAAGAAAGGGATAAAATCAAAACATTAACACTACAACTTGAACAAATAGAGGGCAGCAAAAGAAGCCCTTGGACACCAGAAGAAAGCAAATAATAAAAATTAGAGCAGAATTAAATGAAATAGACAACAGAAAAACAATTGAAAGAGTTAACAAGACCAAAAGCTGGCTCTTTGCAAAGATCAACAAAATCGATAAACCATTGGCCAAACTGACAAAAGAAAAAACAGGAGAGGAAGCAAATAATCTGCACAAGAAATGAGATGGGTGATATCACAACAGACCTAACTGAAATTAAAAGAATCGTTAACAGAATATTATGAAAAATTATACTCTAACAAATTTGAAAACCTAGAGGAAAAATGGACAAATTTCTAGAAACACACTACTTACCTAAACTAACACAAACAGAGGTAGAAAAACTAAATAAACCTGTAACAAAAGAAGAGATTGAAAAGGTAATTTAAAAATTTCCGACAAAA